TGCACCTTTCTTCTTTTTCTTATGACCCCACTTTTACCTTTGCTACTAAAATCGTAGCCCAGTGGGTTTTGCCAAATTTAAAATTAAACATTATTCTTCTCAAGATACAAGATGGGATGGGAGTTCACAAAGGACAGGGGGATTCAGGTACCTGCTTGCAAGATATGTAAAATTGCTATTACTATTAACATTAATTAGCCAATGACACTAATATAGGGCAAAAGCATCATATGTATTCCACTGACAACTTCAAAACACGAATCAAGCAAATGTTATGGCCACATACCAAGCTGAGGTGGTCCATTTAGCATCAAAATTTTCTACTACACATTCAAATAAAAAACTGTTTTTATTCCTCTCAGATAACCAGCATTTAATGAGAAATAAAACAACATTGCGTGGCAATTTGATTTTCAAATTACTTTTCTGGCTTGAACTGAATAGGGCTTCTGCCAAAAATGGGGGCAAAAATGGGTTGCCAGTTCTGAGTTGTAGCTTGTACCTAGATTCAGGACATAATTCTCAGTTTATAAATATGCTTAATTTCCTAGAGGTGAAATGTAAGTTTTGCAATGAAAAAACCAGAGAAATGCAAATGAAATTACATGTACTTCTCAGTATTTAATTCCTATGCTGCTGGTGTTTCTGGTTAAAAACTGAACATTGAAATATAGATTGTTGGAGATTATATGCAAATTACATTCAAGTAGAAACAGGAGAGAGTTGGTCTGCAAAATTGATATGCAATCTGGTTACAGCAAGGCTTTGAGAATGGCCATTTCACCATTTGATCCTACAGACGGGCTTTAGAAGGGCTTTAATCATTCAAAAATATTCACTGGTCACAATTGTGCAGAGATGCAACGGCTGTAAAAAATAGGGTGGTGAGAAAACTCTTCCCCTTCAGATTCCAAAATATTTGAAAACTTTTAAGTGCAGCAAGATTAGCAATAGCAGTGTGGGGTCACTTAAATATTTACATGGTATCCTGTATCTGGAATCTTAGAGGAACCACAGACAATATACTGTATATGCATATACATATACAATGAAACAACATACTTTAGCAATATCCTGGCTGGATTAATAAAATACGCTCTACATGGGGCTGCCTTTGAAGAGTGTTTAGAAACTTCAAAGAGCTACAGCCAGGTTGCTAATGGGGGCTAACGACAGGAAACACCCAGCGGCTTCACTGGCTTCCAGTCCATTACCAAGGACAAATCAAAACGATGGTCTTGACCTATAAAGTCCTGTATGGCTCATGTCCAGGTTATTTGAAGGATTGTATTTTTCCTTATAAAACTGCTTGTGCCTCGAGATCTGCTGGTGTGACATTTCGCTTTATATTCTCAAATGTGCATCAGGTGGGAACAAAGAAGAAAGTTTCCTTGGTGTATTATTATTATTATTATTGTTGTTGTTGTTGTTGTTGTTGTTGTTGTTGTTGTTGTTGTTGTTGTTGTTGTGATGGCATGCCTGAGCCTTTGGGAAAACTATATTGTTTGGCTTTACTCGGGGGCTATCTGTATGCCTTCTGTTAATATTAATATAAACCCTTAGCAGACAGAGGCACTTTGAGGCATGGTGAACAGATAACCAAATGAATTTGCTGCAAACAAGATGAATAAAGGGTTAACTCCACCCAGGACTATCATAAGGTAACTTAAAACAATACATTACAAAGGGAGATCTTGCTGGTTGAAGCCATCTTTCTGGGGTCTTTGAAAGTCTCTTTTGTCTCTGGTGCGAAGCGATAGTTATAAACTGCCTTAATCTTCATTCCTGTGAAGTTTAGGCTGGCCAAAAGCTTCTGTTGTCCTTTGGATTGGTGATATAAAATACTGCTAAATGCAGCAGCAGGTGCAAATAATGCCTGTTTTGGATTGCTAGGCCTCAGATTCTAGACAATATCCAAGCCTCTATTTCACTATAGCTCTGCTGTAGAAAATAGGAGTCCATAGAATCATAGAGTTGGAAGAGACCTTTCGGGACATCCAGTCCAACACCTGCCAAGAAGCAGGAATATCTAATTCAAAGCACCCACAACAGATGGCCATTGAGGCTCCAAAGAAGGAGCCTCAACCACATTCCAGGGCAGAGAGTTCCACTGCTGAACAGCTCTTACAGTCAGGAAGTTCATCCTAATGAACTTCCTGACTGTAAGAGGAAGGAATSTCCTTTCAGATGGAATCTCCTTTTTTGTAGTTTGAAGCCATTGTTTCACGTCCTAGTCTCTAGGGCAGCAGAAAACAAGCTTGCTCCCTCTTCCCTATGACTTCCTCTCACATATTTATACATGGCTATCATGTCTCCTCTCAGCCTTCTCTTGTTCAGGATAAACATGCCCAGCTCTTTAAGCCGCTCCTCATAGGGCTTGTTCTCCAGATRCTTGGTCATTTTAATCACCCTCCTCTCGACACATTCCAGCTTGTCAACATCTCTCTTCAATTGTGGTGCCCAGAATTGGACACAATTTTCCAGATGTGGTCTAACCAAGGCAGAATAGAGGGGTAGCATGACTTCCCTGGATCTAGACACTATACTCCCATTTATGCAGGCCAAAATCCTATTGGCTTTTTAGCTGCAGCATCATGGACAAGTTAAGCATGAGCCAACAACGTGATGCTGCAGCTAAAAAGCCAATAGGATTGTTTATAGGCCTTCCCAATAGCGTAGATAACTTCCTTTGTATTAGTTTTGGGTGGATCTTAAAATCCTCCCAGAGGCCAATTTTAGTTAGTCTATTCCATTTCCCTGCACAAAGCTCTTAGACGAAGGGTTAGATGCAATCATCCAGTTTGCAAATTGGGAGGGATTGCCAATACCCCAGAAGACAGGAGCAGAATTCAAAACGACCTTAACAGATTAGAGAGATGGGCCATAACTAATAAAATGAAGTTCAACAGGGACAAATGCAAAATACTCCACTTAGGCAGGAAAAATGAAATGCAAAGAATGGGGGACCGCATGGCTCAAGAGCAGTACATGTGAAAAAAAATCTGTAAGTGTAACAAAGTAATTTCAGTATAAAGAAAAAGGTTTGGAAAGGTCTTTAGAAAAAATGTAGCTGTTAGAATAGACTTCGACAATAAAGACATTTACTCCAGAATTCCCGTATATAGCATCTTCTTACACAACAAATATGCCCCTTCTGTTTATTTGGAGTGGCATCTGTTGGCTTTGGAGACTGCACAACATTTTCATCACTTTTTAATTTCTGTCTTACCTCCACTAATGCAGAACAGAATGCATTCTGTTTCCTCTAGGGTAGGAATGGTTAGTGGTGGCCCATGGGTTGTGTTTGCTCCCTGGGGCACTATCAAATCAGCCTGGAAATCCGATCATGTTTCACTGAACACCTGAGCAAAAATGCTGCCAGGAACATCAAATTTTAGGGAAATAAATTTGCAGCTATTATGAGCTCTAATATGAAAAATCTCCTTTCAAGGGTTGTACACACAGGCAGCCCCCAAGTTATGAACAAGATAGGTTGTGTAGGTTTGTTCTTAAGTTGAATTAGTATGTAACTAAGAACAGTTTTACGTGTAATAGATAGATAGATAGATAGATAGATAGATAGATAGATAGATAGATAGATAGATAGATAGATAGATGGGCTTTGGATAGCATAGGGAAGGATTAACACCCCTGTGGTGTTTTGTTTTGCTGTCTGTGCCCTTGTTGAGAAGATTTCACCCCACTTTCTGTTCCTGTGATAATTGGACTTTGAAAAATTTGTCATGTTGTGGAAACAAGGATTGGTGAAGAAAATTCAATGGAGACCCTTTCCCCCCATGATAATTCTTTCAGGGGTGAAATTCCCTTCCTAGGCACAGATTTTGCACACATTGTGTTGTCTCATCCCCGTTCTTAACTATGAGTCATTTGTAAGTTGGATGTTTGTAACTCAGTGACTGTCTGTATATGTAATTCATTTAAAGCTCATGTGATTTTGTTCATGAAACTCTAGAATCATGGAATAATAATAATAGAGTTGGAAGAAACCACATGGACCATCTAGTCCAGGGGTCCTCAAACTTTTTAAACAGAAGGCCAGGTCACAGTCCCTCAAACTGTTGGAGAGCCAGATTATAATTTGGAAAAAAATTAATGAATTCCTATGTACACAGCACATAGATTATTTGTAGTGCAAAAAAACACTTAATACAATAATTAAAACGAAGAACAATTTTAACAAATCTAACCTTATTAGCATTTCAATGGAAAGTGTGGGCCTGCTTTTGGCTAATGAGATAGGATTGTTGTTGTTGCTGTTGTTCTGTGCTTTCAAGTCATTTCAGGCTTAGGTTGATCCTGAGCGAGGGCTGGGTAAATGACCCTGGAGGGCTGTATCTTGCCCCTGGGCCTTAGTTTGAGGACCCCTGATCTAGTCCAACCCCCTGCCGTGCAGGCCAAGCATAATCAAAGCACCCATGACAGATGACTATCCAGCCTCTCTTTAAAAACCTCAAAGAATGAGCTTCCATTACATTTGAAGACAGAGAGTTCCACTGCTGAAAGGCTCATACGGTCAGGAAGTTTTTCCTAAACTTCAGGTGGAATCTCCTTTCCTATCATTTGCACCCATTGCTCCGAATCCTAGTCTCCAGGGCAGCAGAAAACAGGCCTACTCCCTCTTCCTTATGATATTATTTTGGATATTTAAGCATGGTTATCATGTCTCATCTCAAACCTCTTTACTGCAAGCTAAAAATACCCAGCTATTTACGCTGCTCCTCATAGGGCTTTGTCTCCAGACCTTTGATCATTTTAGTCCCCCTCCTCTGAACACCTTCCAGCTTGTTAATCTCTCTCTTAAGTTGTGGTGGCCAGAACACCACAACACCACAACAAGAGCAATAAAGTATGAGGATGATCTTAGGGATACTACATTGGAGAAGACTGCCCAAGAAGACATATACTGGACACCACAATTCTGAGAACTAGGTAGAGTGTGGGAAAGTACCTTTTTTGGATTACTGACCAGTTAGTCAAAGTATCTTCAAACCATGTAGAGTTTAATGAAAGAAGGAACAACTTGACAACAATGTTTTTCATTCAGCTGCCCAGTACTCCAACAGAAACAGCTTCTGAGGAACAGATCAGCCAAAGATAGCATGGTCTGTAAATAAAAAAAGGGGGGGAACAGAATCACTGAGTTATACAAAACAACTTTCCTATGCAACCATTTAATTAAAGACATACTTTTAATGCAGTATTTTCCCAACTGTGGTGCCCAGAACTAGATATAGTATTCCTGTTGAGGTCTGACCAACGCAGCATAGAGTGGTGCTCTTACCTCCCTTGATCTGGTCACTGTGCCCCTGTTGATGCAGTCTAGAATTGCATTGGGTTGTTTTTAGCTGCAGCATTAAACTGGTGACGAATGTCATGGTGATATGCCCAAGTATCTCAGGCTGAGATTCTACACAGAAGAGAATGGTGTGTGGAAGTATTATATGTGCATATATATATTGATTTTATTCCAGCAGAGCTTTATGGTCCAAAAATAGTTACCAGTATTTATTTATCGTGCCAGAAGCAAGTTGAAGATACAGTTAAAATGCATTTAAAAGCACAAAGTTTTTTAAAACTTGGCATTATGCTAAATGTCCTTTCACCTGGAGTGCCTCTGGAGTCGCTCCATTGCAATGCCTGATCACAATCTCCCAAAGCAGTTACTATGCTTCCAACTCAAGAAGTGGACAGGAAAAGTGAGCTTAAAGCCAATCTTAAAAACTGTGACATAGGAAGCTGGGAAGCCCTGGCCCTTGATTGCTCTAACTGGAGGTCAGCTGTGACCAGCAGTGCTGCAGAATTCAAAGTGGTACGAATGGAGGGTGAAAAGAGAAAAATGCCAAGAGGAAAGCACTTCAAGCCAACCCTGATCGGGACTGCCTTCCACCTGAAAACCGATGTCCTCACTGTGGGAGAACATGTGGATCAAGAATAAGGCTCCACAGCCACCTATGGACCCACAACCAAGACACTACACTTGGAGGACCATCATCCTCGGGCTATGAGGGATTGCCTAAGAGAGATGTGGCAGGGCTCAGGTTGCATTGTAGTAGATGGTCTGTGGTTTGCTCTTCTCCGCACTCGCATGTCGTGGACTACACTATATAGCCCCATTTCTTAATGTTAGCTCTGCATCTCGTGGTGCCAGAGTGCAGCCTGTTCAGCGCCTTCCAGGTCATCCAGTCTTCTGTGTGCCCAAGAGGGAATTTCTTATCCAGTCTTAGCCACTGATTGAGGTGCTGGGTTTTAGCCTGCCACTTTTGGACTCTTGTTTACTGAGATGTTCCTGCGAGTATCTCTGTAGATCTTAGGAAGCTGTTTCTTGAATAGTGAAGAGAAGCAAACACAATCCCAGCTATTGGCTGGCCAAACTTTCAAGGAGATATTGTGTGTGTGTGTGTGTGTGTGTTTTGTTTGTTTTTTTTTTAAATGGGACTAGAGGGAAAAATTACCTAGTTCTCATTTGAATTATCATGTGTTGCACACAGGACTGGTTGGAAAGAAAAATTGTAAGGAGCAAAGTTCTTTCTGCTCTTTGTCAGTGGCACTTCTCTTGGCCATAAAGGTTAAACCCCTGCAGAATTGTAGGCAATTTTAGATAAGGTTAAAACTAGACAAATAAACACAGCCTTTCTTCTCATTATTCTGAAAGTGGTGACCGAAATGAATCCAATAGTAATTGTATATAATTCCATCTTGTGCATATTGGTCTGTGGTCAGCAGTTTGCTGTTGGTAATTCAGTTACAACTGAATCCAAAGGAAGAAGAAAATGATGTGGTGGGAAGAGAGAAAAGGAAAAGAAAATGCAGTGGTGAACAGGTTAAAAAAACAGGTAAATGAAGAAGATGGACAGCTTGTAGACTACAAACCGTTAGTGATGCCCTTGAATTTAACCAGGTATTTAAAGAAAAAATGACAGACTTAAATAACAGTAATATGTATCTAGAGTACACTATATATGAGCTTACCTTTTTCTGGAAAATGCCTTTTTTCTCTGTTCTGAGGAGGAGTTATCCTTATCCAAGAGGTCCTCCCACTAATGTATTCATGCTTTTCTACTATATAATTTTCCATTGAAGTCCGGTTCGACTGTGGATAATGTCTCCTCTGAGGCCTGAGCCAGGTTGATTCAAGCTTGCTTTCCAGCCAGCAGTTGGATTCCCTCATCCGATTATAATCTATTAGGCGCTTTTGCTCTTCTGCAGACATGGCTGGTTGAACAGACTTAGCCATAGTAATGAGATAAATCCCTGCTTCAATGGACAAAAAGAAGCCGCCACGTGAGCCGATATCCCTGTTTGGTTGACATGGAAATGAAACCTAAGAAGATAGGAAAATTGACCTCGATAGTCAATCCTGACAGGTAGGGGAGACAGAAAGAGAGGAGAGTCCTTCTAGCAGCCCTACTGAAGCATCACTTTTTAAAAAAGCTCCTCAACCCTAATTTTTCTACAGTGGCATCCTATAATGAATGCCTACTTGAGACTGATCTTGAAGTTCTTAGCCCTGAAAACTGGCCATTCTCACCTTACGCTATAGTCCCTTGATAAAATAGGGTTCTGGACTTTCAGGTGATTTTGGTGCAGACATGGTCTTTGTAGAAATCGTTTATTTGGTGTTAAGCTTGTTCCTTAAAAGCTAATGGAATATATTCTATATCAATCAATATGTTGATTATACTAGCCCAAGGTCATGACAAAAAGCTATAATATGTACAGAACAGTGTAAATATGTAACAGAAGGAAATATGGAACAGAAAACATTAAACAAAGGTTATTATCAATCTCACACAAAGAATAAAAACTGCAAATTACAGATAAATGTTGGACGAATCTATCCCAGTGGTTCCCAAACTCTTTTAGACCAGGGACCACTTGACGAGGGACCACTTTGAACAGGAACCACTTGAATAATGACCACTTTGACCAGGGACCACTTGGACCAGGGACAGCTCTCCAACATTAGTACCAAAAGGATAACAAATCCGGTTTTGGTCAACTTTTAGATTCAATGTATTGTAGAAGGCTTTCATGGCTGGAATCACTGGGTGGTTGTTTAAGTTTATCATCTTACAACCTTTGACCTCACAACCTCTGAGAATGCCTGCCATAGATGCAGGCAAAATGTCAGGAGAAAATGCTTCTGGAACATGGCCATATAGCCCGAAAAACTTACAACAACCCAACTTTAGATTCGGTATGGTTATTTGGGATGCTGATTCAGAAAATTGCATTGGATAAACCACATCAGCTCTAGTTTCTGATACAGAACATATACCATCCTGTAGTCACCATGGGCTCTCCCACAGAAAACCATATCTGATCTAGATCTGATGTGGTAGTAGTAATCTTTTGTGTGTAGTCAGCCTCTTTCCTCTCAACATCCCTGTTGCCTTGGCACTGTAAGAGGTTTTGCAAGACCAGTCGTTTTTGTTGTCAAGTGGTTTCGAGGCAATTGTGTTGTAATGGTGAAGCCACTGACCATATTTTCGTTCTTGTGGACCGGTGGTGGTCCATAGACCACTGGTTGGGGATACTGATCTACTCTATATACTTATGTATAAGTCTAGAAATTTCAGCTAAAAATTGACCTGAATAAACTTGGGTCAACTTATCGACATGTCAATGTGGATTCTGTAACTTAACTTTTACCAAAAAAAGGAACCAGTCCCTTCTTTAAGTATTGTGGTGAAATGTTTAGTCTGATCTAGAAGAACTTAAAACAAGCACTGATATCCCTGCTCTCTCCGCCATGGCATCACTTCTGGTCTTTTTTTAATGCAGCAGTACTTCTGCTCCATGCAATAACCCTTGACTTATCCATGGATCATATAAAAATCCATAATTTTGATCCCCAAACCTGTTCTAGCCTTATACGTGATGCCAACTTATATACGAGTATATAAAGTAGATGTTATCTGAAATTCTTCCCTTCATTCACTCAGCATCATCCAGTCACCTCCACTCCCAAACCACTCTCTTAACAGACTTATCTAACTGTCACCAAATAATCCTCCTGTCCAGAGAAAAGGCCCTTTAAAAAATCTTCCTCTCCCCCACAGAAATCTAAAATCACATAATATTCTGTGCTGAAACTGAGTACCTTTAGTTATTCCCAATCATTCCTTGATACTTACAGAATGCTATTCCATAACATATTAGCAAGTTTTCTTTTTTTCTTTTTCCTCTTTCCCCTGCATTGCACCAGGATGCAGTTTACAAGGAAGAGGCATAAAAACAGGATTTCCATGTTTTGAAAAGAAAAAAGGAAGAGCATGCATTTCTTGTTTCAAACCAGTAGAACTACTAACAATATTTCTAACCTTCATTTGAGTTAAATAGTCATTTGACCTTCCCTTTCCCCCTTCCCTCTCTTCTGACTGCTGCCTCACCAACTCCATCAATCTGCCTTGCTCCATTGCCCTCAAATGGCCAGACATTCCTTCACCATCTGGCATGGCTCGCTTGCCTTTCCCCTCACGGTCTGTTTCCCTTCTTTTCTACACTCAGAACTGCTGTCACTACCTTTTTCTTTCTTTCTTTCTCCTTCTCTTTCACAAAAAGAGAGTCTTCAACCTCAGCAAGATGGAGTGGATGAGGGATTGGAGGACATCCAACCCCAAATTGGGAAAGAAGTCGTCCAGGAATACCTGGCCGCTCTAAATGAGTTCAAGTCCCCTTTCAGGGCCAGATCAACTACACCCCAGAGTATTGAAGGAACTAGCGGAAGTCATTTCGGAACCATTGGCAACCATCTTTGAGAGTTCTTGGAGAACGGGAGAAGTTCCAGCAGATTGGAGGAGGGCCAATGTGGTCCCAATCTTCAAGAAGGGAAAAAAGGATGACCCAAACAATTACCGTCCGGTCAGCCTCACGTCGATACCAGGCAAGATTCTGGAAAAGATTGTTAAGGAAGTGGTCTGCAAACACTTAGAAACAAATGCAGTCATCGCTAGTAGTCAACATGGATTTATCAAAAACAAGTCATGCCAGACTAATCTGATCTCTTTCTTCGATAGAGCTACAAGCTGGGTAGATGCGGGGAATGCCGTGGATGTAGCGTACCTGGATTTCAGTAAGGCCTTCGACAAGGTCCCCCATGACCTTCTGGCAAACTAGTCCAATGTGGGCTAGGCAAAACTACGGTGAGGTGGATCTGTAATTGGTTAAATGGACGAACCCAGAGGGTGCTCACCAATGCTTCCTCTTCATCCTGGAAAGAAGTGACGAGCGGAGTGCCGCAGGGTTCCGTCCTGGGCCCGGTCCTGCTCAACATCTTTATTAATGACTTAGATGAAGGGCTAGAAGGCATGATCATCAAGTTTGCAGACGACACCAAATTGGGAGGGATAGCCAATAGTCCAGAGGACAGGAGCAGAATTCAAAACGATCTTGACAGATTAGAGAGATGGGCCAAAACTAACAAAATGAAGTTCAACAGTGACAAATGCAAGATACTCCACTTTGGCAGGAAAAACGAAATGCAAAGATACAGAATGGGGGAAGCCTGGCTCGAGAGCAGTACGTGTGAAAAAGATCTTGGAGTCCTCGTGGACAACAAGTTAAACATGAGCCAACAATGTGATGTGGCGGCAAAAAAAGCCAATGGGATTTTGGCCTGCATCAATAGGAGCATAGTGTCTAGATCTAAGGAAGTAATGCTACCCCTCTATTCTGCTTTGGTTGGACCACATCTGGAATATTGTGTCCAATTCTGGGCACCACAATTCAAGAGAGATATTGACAAGCTGGAATGTGTCCAGAGGAGGGCGACTAAAATGATCAAGGGTCTGGAGAACAAGCCCTATGAGGAGCGGCTTAGGGAACTGGGTATGTTTAGCCTGAAGAAGAGAAGGCTGAGAGGAGATATGATAGCCATGTATAAATATGTGAGAGGAAGCCACAGGGAGGAGGGAGCAAGCTTGTTTTCTGCTTCCTTGGAGACTAGGACGGAACAATGGCTTCAAACTACAAGAGAGGAGATTCCATCTGAACATTAGGAAGAACTTCCTGACTGTGAGAGCCGTTCAGCAGTGGACCTCTCTGCCCCGGAGTGTGGTGGAGGCTCCTTCTTTGGAAGCTTTTAAGCAGAGGCTGGATGGCCATCTGTCAGGGGTGATTTGAATGCAATATTCCTGCTTCTTGGCAGGGGGTTGGACTGGATGGCCCATGAGGTCTCTTCCAACTCTTTGATTCTATGATTCTATGATTCTCTGGTCCCATCTACACGGCCATATTATGCAGAATCCTGCAAATCTTTTGGGAAGACAGGTAGACAAACATCAACGTTGTGGGAGAAGCCAACACCATCAGCATTGAACTGATGATTCTTCTCCATCAACTTCGCTGGATTGGCTATGTTGTCTGAATGCCGGATTACCATCTTTCAAAGCAGTTACTTTCTTCTCAGCTCATGAACGGAAAACAGAATGTCGGTGGACAGGAAAAGAGATTTAAAGATGGGCTTAAAGCTAACCTTAAAAAATGTGGCATAGACACCGAGAACTGGGAAGCACTGGTTCTTTAACGTTCTAACTACAGGTCAGCTATTGTCAATGGTGCTATGGATTTTGAAGAGGTACAAGTGGAGGCCAAAAGGGAGAAAGTGCCAAGAGGAAAGCACATCAAGCAAACTCTTGTCCGGACAACCTTACATCTGGAAATATAGGTCCTCAGAGTGAAATGCCATGTGGATTTAGCGTGGGTCTCTACAGTCATAGAAACATAGAGTTGGAAGAGATTTTGTGGACACCCAATCCTACCCCATGCAAAGAAGCAGGAAAATCGCATTCAAAGCACCCTAACAGATGGCCACCCAGCCTCTGTTTAAAAGTCTCCAAAGAAGGAGCCTCCACCACACTTCAGAGCAGCAACTTCCACTGCTGAACAGCTCTCACAGTCAGGAAGTTATTCCTAATGTTCAGGTGAAATCTCCTTTCCTGTAGTTTGAAGCCATTGTTCCGCATCCTAGTCTCCAGGGCAACAGAAAACAAGCTTGCTTCCTCCTCCCTATGACTTCCCCTAACATATTTATACATTACCCTCATCATGCCTCCTCTTAGCCTTCTCGTCTGCAGGATAAACACGCCCAGCTCTTTAAACCACTCCTCAAAGGGCTTGTTCTCCAGACCCTGGATCATTTTAGTCGCCCTCCTCTGGACACATTCCAGCTTGTCAATATCTCTCTTTAATTGCGGTACCCAGAAAAAAGACACAGTATTCCAGGTATGGTCTGACCAAGGCAGAATAGAAGGGTAGCATGACTTCCCGGGACTTAATCTACGAACTCATCACCAAGTCTCTTCCCCTTGAAGGCAATCATATTCAGCTACAACTGATTGTCTATAGAACAGTAAACTACCATACAATGCAGTAAAACTGCATTCTGAAATTGCATTATATGGCAATGTAGATGGCACATCTGAAAGATCTCAGTGGAGCTGAGAGGACAGACACTGACAGGCAGGAGGCAAAGCAGCAGAGGACATTTAAAAAACCTTCAGACATTAAAAAAAATCAGTTGCATATTTCTTTCCTCAGGATGATGTAAAGTAACCTAATCAACCATGGCTCACATCAGGCCCGTAGCCAGGATTTCGTTTCGGGGGGGGGGGGGGGAATTTTCGGGGGGGGGGGGTGGGGGGGGGGGGGGCTGAGTCTGAGTGAAAGAGGGTCTAGCCTAGCAAACCTTTTGTATCATTACCCCAATACCCCCATGCATATGGGGATATATTGAGTATGGTGATCAGATCATGATATGAATAAACATAACAGTTTAAATAATGCACCAGTAAGGCCTTTTCGCGAACCACCATGAGAATTTGGGGGGGGGGGGCGAAGCCCCTCAAGCCCCCCCCCCCCCCCTGGGCTACATGCCTGGCTCACATTTTTAAAATTCCCAAAAGCAAACCTTAATTTGGTCATCTTATTATACAAGGAACAAAACAGTTTGATATCACTTTAACTGTCATGGTTGTATCCTCTTGAATTCTGAGATTTCTCATTTGGTGAAGTACTTAGTATTTTTCAGTAGACAGTTGCTTCCTTTCAGCTTGACCTACCACCTATCTCTTATTTTGTGTATGCTGAAATAAAATAAGAGAGACGAGGAGGAATATGTACTCTGATCTCACTGGGAAACAGTTGAGATACTAAATGTAACCACTAAACAGTGTTCAAATACTTTGCAACACATATTCTTGCATCCCTCTATTTGTATCCTTTCATTTATTCCTACCTTTAGCTTTTGATATCAATCAATGTGAGAACTGGCTGTCGTTCTAATCCCATGACTGCCAAATTTGCTCGGGAGTTTTTATTGTAGGACTTTGTCAAAGGCTTTTTGAAAGCCCACCTACGCGATGTGGACAGGCTCACCCCATCCAGATGTTTGCTGATACATACCTGAACCTTTCAGTGCTTCGATTTCTGGCAAAGAGGAGTTGCCAGTTGGGTTCCTAAGTTAGATTTCAACAGTGAATGTAAAACACAGAACCTTAAGGAAGTTCCAAAAGTGCTTAGCAACAATCATTTCAAACCTTCATAACTAAGCCAGTATAATGGGTTTTTGGGAGCTTTCCGGGCTGTATGGCCATGTTCCAGAAGCATTATCTCCTGTCATTTTGCCTGCATCTATGGAAGGCATCCTCAGAGGTTGTGATGTCTGTTGGGAACTAGGAAAAGGGGGTTTATATATCCGTGGAATGTCCATGGTGGGAGAAAGAACTTTTGTCTGTTTAAGGTAGGTGTGGATGTTTCAGCTGACCACCTTGATTAACATATAATAGCCTAGCAGTTTTAAGGTCTGCCTTCTTACTGCCTGGGGGAATCCCAGACAAGAAACAATCAGGGCCAGCTAATCACCTCCCAACAACCTCTGAGGATGCCTGCCATAGATGCAGGCAAAATGTCATGCTTCTAGAACATGGCCATACAGCCTGGAAAGCTCACAACAACCTAGTGATTCAAGCCATGAAAGCCTTCATCAATACATTAAGCCAGTGTATTCAACCTTCCATTAATAAGAGAGCCGTTCAGCAGTGGAACTCTCTGCCCCGGAGTGTGGTGGAGGCTCCTTCCTTGGAAGCTTTTAAGCAGAGGCTGGATGGCCATTTGTCAGGGGTGATTTGAATGCAATATTCCTGCTTCTTGGCAGGGGGTTGGACTGGATGGCCCATGAGGTCTCTTTCAACTCTTTGATTCTATGATTCTGTGAATAAAATGAAGCTGCTCTTCTCCTTTGGTGGTGCACAATAAACAAAGACAAACCATATAATAAGAAGTACTATAGTTAGATCCCTTACAGATGTCATTTTCTTTTATTTTCTCCAATTTTTTAAATTCAAATTTACAAAGAAAAAACGTACTTGTGAAATACAACACAAAATTAAATTAAAACTACAAAACCCACAATTTCTTATTACATATTAAAGCAACTAGCACACCTTTAACTGCCATTTTCAAGAGAAGTAAAATGCAGTAGAATCTCAGGTAACGGGTGCCCATGGGGATTGGAAGATAGAATCATAGAATCATAGAATCAAAGAGTTGGAAGAGACCTCATGGGCCATCCAGTCCAACCCCCTGCCAAGAAGCAGGAATATTGCATTCAAATCACCCCTGACAAATGGCCATCCAGCCTCTGCTTAAAAGCTTCCGGATAAATGGTGCTTCTGGTTGCTTGAGAGTTACAATGGAAAATTATGAAAAATCAGGACAGTAAATAAAGAGCAACACTCAAAAAGCAGCAGAATTCCAGAAATGAATCAATCAGGGCCAGCTAACACCTCCCAACAAAGGATTCCCCAGGCAGGAAGCAGCCAGGCTTTGAAGCTGCAAGGCCATTAAATGTTAATTAAGGTAGCCATTTGCAACATTCACACTTGCCTCAAGCAAACAAAAGTCCTGTCTCCCACCCTGGATATTCCACAGATATATAAACCTCACTTGCCTAGTTTCCAACAGACCTCACAACCTCTGAGGATGCCTGTCACAGACGTGGGTGAAACCTAAGGAGAGAATGCTTCTGAAACATGGCCATACAGCCCAGAAAACTCACAACAACCCAGATCTTATATCCCCTAAACTGCATTGACTTGGTATTAACATTAATTAACAAATTAACACAAACTTAACCTAATGTAACACAGGGCCCTTCCACACAGCCATATAACCCAGAATATCAAGGCAGGAGATCCCACAAAATTTGCTTTGAACTGGGTTATCTGAGTCCACACTCAGATAATGTGGGATTTTCTGCCCTGATGTTCTGGGATATAGAACTGTGTGGAAGGGCCCCCAGAATATCAAGCTAGGTTCTCAACCTGGGGTCCCCAGATGTTTTTGGCCTTCAACGCCCAGAAATCCTAACAGCTGGTAAACTGGCTAGGATTTCTGGGAGTTGTAAGCCAAAAACATCTGGGGACCCCAGGTTGAGAACCACTGATAGTACACAATATCTGCTTTGAACTGGATTATATGAAGGCCCTTCCAGACAGGCCCTGTATCCCAGGATCTGATCTCAAATTTTCCATTTATCCCAGGTTATCTGGCAATGGGGACTCATCCAATCCAGTTTAAAGCTGAAAACCTGGGCTGTAGGGCCTGTCTGGAAGGGCCCAGCGTCCACACTGCCATATAAACCAGTTCAAAGCAGATGTGGGGCTTTATACAGCCACAATTACATTACTGTGGGCCCTTCCACACAGCCCTATATCCCAGAATATCAAGGCAGAATATCCCACAATATCTGCTTTGAACTGGGTTATATGGGTCCACACTGACATATATTCCAATTGTAGGATTTTCTGCCTTGATATCCTGGGATATAGGGCTGTGTGGAAGGGCCCACAGCCCTATATTCCTGGATATCAAGGCAGAAAAATCCCACATTGTGTGAGTGTGGATTCTGATAATCCGGTTCAAAGGAGATATTGTAGGATTTTCTGCCTTGATATCCTGGGATATAGGGCTGTGTGGAAGGGGCCACAGTCCACACTTTGATAATGTGGGGTTTGTCTGGGATTTAGGCCTAGGTGGAAAGGAGCTCAGTTCCACGTGGCCTCTGTTGAGCTGGAAGGTGACTTAATGAAGCCCCGCCCCCTTGCGCCTCACTCAGAAGCCCCGCCCCTTCTCCTTTGCGATTGGCAGGCCGTCCATCCTTCCACGGCCCCTGATTGGTTGAGAAGATGGCCTCGGAAATCTGCCGAGCGAGCAGAGCCGTCTGCGCATGCGGGAGCCGGTCGCGAGCTATCTCTCGAGGGAGGCGGACGTTTCGTTTTTTTGAGCTGAGGGGAGGGAAAGGAAGCAAGCACGCCTGCCTGAATGAGGGACTGCTGTTGGTTGTGTGAGGAGAGATTATGGCGGGTGGAGGCTGAGGGAGCGAGGCCCAGGTTGGGGTAGGATAGGCAAGGTCAGGGAAACACCTGAGGAGGAAGAAGGGAAGGAGAAGATACTGTTTAGCAGGCTGAGGGGGGCCTTGGCCTGAGTGTGTGGACAGCAGAGGCTGTACTGTGTGTGAGAGAGAGTGATTGTGGGGGTATTTAGTTTGGAAATGATAATATTGCAGTAGCATAGTAGGGAAGCTCTCTTGTTATATATATATGAGTGATTGGGGGTATTTAGTGGGAAATAATATTATTGCACTCATATTATTATGAGTGATTGTGGGGGTATTAAGTGGGAAATAATATTGCAATATTTAGTGAAAAATAATATTATTGCACTCATATTATTATGAGTGATTGTGGGGGTATTTAGTGGGAAATAATATTATTGCAGTATTTAGTGGGAAATAATATTATTGCATTCTTAATATTATGAGTGATTGTGGGGGTATTTAGTGAGAAATAGTATTATTGCAGTATTTAGTGGGAAATTATATTATTGCACTCATAATATTATTATGAGTGATTGTGGGGGTATTTAGTGGGAAATAATATTACTGCACTCATATTATTATGAGTGATTTTAGTGGGAAATAATATTATTGCACTCTTAATATTATTATGAGTGATTGTGGGGATATTAAGTGGGAAATAATATTATTGCAGTAGTGGGGAAAATAGAGGGAGGCAGAAGAAAAGGAGTTTTCTGGAAGCAGAGAAGATGCATATTGTGATATTGGACTAGCCTTGCAATTGTGGGGATGTGGCAAGGCCTATTTGTTTAGCTCTTTGTGTCCAAACTGTGAGAAATAATATTGCAATAACATAGAAGTGAGAGAGAAGGGTCATAAGAGGAGGAGTTCTCTGAGGATAGGAAAAATGCATGGCATGGGGTTGGAGTAACTTTGCAATTCTGTATTTGAGGAATCTATTTAGCTGTGAGTGTCCCAGCTGTGGAAAATAATTTTGCAATACTTGGGAGGGAAAAGGGAGGTAGAAAAGGAGTGCTTTCCTGGCACCAGGAGTAGTCTTGCAAGTGTGTATGGGGTGGTACTCAGCTGTCTAAACTGTGGAAAATAATCATGTAATAGCATAGTAGGGGGGAAGGGGAGGAGCATTTTTCTGAGAGGAGGAAAAATGCATGCTGTGTGGGTGGAATAATCTTGTAACTGTATGTGTCTAAGGGGCAGGATGGGGTGTGTTCAGAGAGAGAGTCACTAAAGCATTGGGAGAAGTGGTTGTAGAGAGAAGGGATTATAGGAAGGAGATTCTCAGTAGGTGGAGAGTATCTGTCTCTGATTTGGAAACTGAATAGAGAAGGGGAGTGGCTCAAGGGTCAGGATGGGTGGTGAGGGAGCTGATATGGGGGAGCCTGGGGAGGGTGGCGAGGAGAGTGGTGGTGAGCCCTTGAAGGTGGCTGTGGTGCATCCCTTCCAGCAGAATGGATGTCTCCCAGGCAAAGAGATTGAACACAGCAGCTGCTCCACACCTTTGGTAGCTGAGAGCGATGTGGAACTTGGAAGTGGTGTCCCTTCCTTTCCTAATCTTGAGGAGCATCCAGAGGTGGAAGCGATGCTGTCCTCCTCCACATCAGGAAGTAAGCTGACCACTCGGCTTTCCAAGCGCAGGCTGGTGGTGCTGGCTATCTTCAGCTTGTACTCCCTGGTAAATGCCTTCCAGTGGATCCAGTATAGTATATTGACAACTATCTTCATTGAATACTACAATGTCTCAACTTCTCAGATTGATTGGCTCTCCATGGCATACATGGTGACATACATTCCTCTGATTTTTCCAGCCACTTGGCTGCTGGACATTCGTGGCCTTCGCCTCACTGCCTTGCTGGGCTCTGGACTCAACTGTTTGGGTGCTTGGATTAAGTGTGCCAGTGTTCAACGAAACCTCTACCCAGTTACCTTGTTGGCACAGATTGTGTGTTCTGTAGCTCAGGTTTTTATTTTGGGACTGCCCTCTCGGATTGCCTCTGTCTGGTTTGGACCCAAGGAAGTGTCCACTGCTTGCGCTGTAGCTGTGCTTGGAAATCAGGTAAGGGGGATGGAGGATGCTTGGGTTGGATATCTCTGCAAAAAGGTGCTCACGTGAAGAACTTATGTGCAAAATGGATTAAAAGACAAGAGTCTTTATGCATAGGATGAAAAGCTTAATTGTTGTGTGGTAATTACATAGTTGCAGATTGTCTATATTGGTACTTGAAGCAGCTTTATTTGTAAAAAAGCAAAGGATGTGTGAAGTTGAATCACAGAGACCTCTTAAGTCATCAAGCTTTCTGATGTGGTGGACCTGCAACTTTTTTTCAATGTGCCAGAAATGTACTGCATCTGTGCCATATTATAATATGTGCAGTTTTCTCCAAACTCGCTAAGGTAGCCAATGGCTTATAGACTGGCATGAACCACCACTCTGAGGAACTCTGATCTAGTTATGTCTTTGCTAAGGCAGGATTGTATTGTAACTTATTAAGGTTATCCATGAGGTAAATAAGATTACCATATGATAGACAACAATTAGTGTTATTTCCATTATTATTATTATTATTATTATTATTATTATTATTATTATTATTATGTTTGTTTATACCCCACTTTTTCTCTCCACAAAGGAAACTGTGATTTAAGTGGAGATAACCCAGTGAGCCTTGCTAACACAGTAATGTTTTGAAATCCTGTTCTTGATTGGCCTAGGATTTGGAATGAGTGTTGCTTTATCATTGTGGAATATAAAGGAAAAAGCCATTTCTTGCATTTTTCTAGTTATATGTTTTTCCTGACATTACAGAGGAGAATTCTGAACATCTGCAAACTCAGAATCTCAGCTATAGAGTTAGAGTCATTACAGAGAGAATACAGATTGCTAGTATAGTTTATGATCAGTTATTACTGCTAATGCTTTGGTGTAAATGTTAGAGTGAGGATCACTGGCTGGACAAATAAATCATACAGAATATGATGTTGTATGAAACTCTGCCAGAAAAAGTGTATCACATTACCTGTATACAACTGATCATGTCCAAAAGTAACCATGACCTTAAATAACCCCATTAGTGGCTATCACATCACAGGTTAATGAAGGAATAATATGCTTTCTAACTATCTTTTTTGTTACTTTTATATAATGTAACAATCTCTTTTTAGCGTTTAAAACTTGTTATTACATTGGTATGTCTTTACAGCTAGGCACAGCAATTGGCTTCTTATTGCCCCCAGTCTTAGTTCCAAACACAGCTGATGACATGGATCTCATGGGGTATAACATACGAAATATGTTCTATGGAACAGCAGCCATATCTACATTCCTCTTTATCCTAGTAGCATTTGGTAAGTAAAACATAACTGTGGTCATTTTACTTCAAACTGAAGAGAGCAATGCAATTTGAATTCATAAACATGGAACACTCTAAATTGAAGGCTGGGGTCCATCTATACTTTAGAATGAATCCAGTTTAACCTTACTTTAACATTCTCTGTCAAAGAGTGCTAGTCCCTCATGAAAGTACAAATTCCAAGATTCCATAGCACTGAATTATGGCAGTTAAAGTGGCATCAAATTCTATTCATTCTATCGTGTAGATGCAGTCTTGATCACAGATGAAGCTATATTTGACCATCCATTTTAAGCCATAAATTCTTTCTTAACTTGGATAACAGCAAGGGAAAAAAGCAAGCATTTCTCAGTAATTCTACTGTTCAAAATGTTGAACAAGATTTTTTTCTCTTTAAAAATGCATAGAATTCAACAATGTTTCCATTTACCTTTTCAAGACATCTCAAATGAAGGCAAGGGCAATCCCACTCTGAACAAAACTCTGTAATAGCTTTGTCTCAGAGTTGCCTTGAAAACGGCAACATGCTCTATGTGGGGTTGTCTTTGAAGGCTGTTCAGAAGCTTCAAATGGTCCACTGGGTGGCAGCCAGATTGCTCACTGGCGTGGCGTACAGGGAGCACACAACCCCCAGTTACGTCAGCTCCACTGGCTGCCAGTCTGCTATCAACCACAATCCAAAGTGCTGGCGTTAGCCTATAAAGCCCTAAATAGTTCCAGCCCAGCCTACCTGTCCGAACGTATCTCCCTCTATGATCTACCTTGGAGGCTAAGATCATCAGGGGAGGCCCTGTTCTCAATTCCACCTCCTTCTCAAGCTGGTGGGGACGAGAGACAGGACCTTCTCAGTGGTGGCCCCTTGTCTATAGAACTCCCTTTCCAGCAAGATTAGAAAAGCCCACTCTTGCTTGGCCTTCAGGAAAAAGTTAAAAGCATGGCTCTGGGACCAAATCTTTGGCCAGTAAATTTGAACAATGCAATAAGAAAGTATGAAATAAGACAGTGAAGAATGGAATGTCCCTGGAATAGGACTCTGATTGTGTGATTTTAACTGATGTTTTAATATTAATGTTTTTAATTGTTTGGTTTTTAACGTGTTGTTTATTTATGTATGCTTATGTGTGTCATCGAATCGTTGCCTTTGTAAGGCTTCTCTGAGTCTTCTCTATATTCTACATTTTCCCTAGATGTTTATATTTATTTATTGTGATAGAAGCAAATTGAGAATACAATTATAATATATATAAAAACTACAAAGTTAAAAACTTGGCATTATGCTAAATTTCCTTTGATCAGAGGTTGGCCACTTCAAGTGCTCTGGTGTTGCTATAAGGAGGTCCCCCGTTGTGCATGTGGCAGGGCTAGGACTACATTGTAGTGGTCTGTGGTTTGCTCTTCTCCACAGTCACATGTTGTGGACTCCACTTTGGCCCCATTTCTTTTCCCCAGTGATTTCAAGGTAGCACACGTGGCCCTACTTACTTTGTTATTAAAAACAATAAATAGAACTACATGTAAAAACTAGAGATAATCCCCAAAGGCAGTGATAAAAAGTTACCGTTATTAAGTGAAAGGTTGAAACAATACAGCAATTTCAGTAAGAAAAAAATAAAAATCTTGGATACAGTGCAAGGCAGCATCTGTAACACTTGATAGCAAAAAGTATCTGAAAAAGAACAAACAAAAGTCTAGTCTCAGCCTGGGAATTACTGCAAGTTGGGAAAAGATAACACTGTACTTGGTCTGCTTCTGGGTTTGCTGACATTTGAGTAACAAGAATGATTGACAAAACTTATATTTCTGTAATTTTCTTCCTAGTGTTTAAGGAAAAACCTAAATATCCTCCAAGTCAGTCTCAAGCAGTTCTCCTCAATGTATCTACAGAAGATCACTCGTATATAAAATCGATTGTCAACCTGTTCAAAAATGTTCCTTTTGTTCTTTTGCTAATAAGTTATGGTGAGTATTGGATCATTTGTGTATATCAGAGGTAGCCAAGTACAACTCTTGGAGATGACATTTTCTATGGTCAAAAATGGAAATTTGCAATAATAATAAAAGGCTCTGAAATGCTTCACAATGTCTAGTGGCTCTAGTAGGATAGGTAAGGTACAGTCACACTATATTTTTCAGGCAAATGTATGTCCAGGGGAGCCTTTTTTGAAACCCAAAATGTGAAAATGCCCCCATACCCAGTAAAGAAATTTGGGGGGCTATTCAGTTTTTTTTAAAGGGAGGAAATTCATCCCTTCAAGGTCTCCTAAGAGCCAATACACTTCCTTAGCATTCCACATTGTATACTTTAATATAGATTATCTAGAGCAGGGGTCCTCAAACTAAGGCCCAGGGGCCGGATACGGCCCTCCAAGGTAGATTACCCGGCCCTCGCTCAGGGTCAACTTAAGTCTGAAATGACTTGAAAGCACACAATAACAACAACAAACCTATCTCATCAGGCAAAAGCCGGTTCACACTTCCCATTGAAATACTAATAAAGTTATATTTGTTAAAATTGTTCTTCATTTTTATTACTGTATTGTTTTAAAGTGTTTTTGCACTACAAATATATGTGCAGTGTGCATAGGAATTCATTCTTTTTTTTTCCAAATTATAATCTGGCCCTCCCAACAGTTTGAGGGATTGTGATCTGGCCCTCTGTTTAAAAAGTTTGTGGACCCCTGATCTAGAGCATCTGCACTTAAATTGATAAAATAGCATCCTATACATTAGCAAGTCTTCGTAAGAGAAATATATGACAGCAAACTGCTATATGGGTTGTTCCATTATTTGACAAGTTTCAGTTTATTCAAATGCATGTAAACATTTTCATTTTGAATTGATATTGCTCCAATTCCTGTAGTTATCTGATATTTTCCTTAAATAGAACTTATGCTCAGAAATAAATGACTAACTAAATATTCCCCAAACATTTTTATTGAAACATTTATAAAGCCAAGAGTGTACGTCTATAAAAATATAGGATAACTTGTTCAGCTCCTCATAGGTTTTGCAGCAATGTTATTGCATCATGTATTTTGATCTTTACAATTCAATAAAATTGTGCTCTGTATGATTCTGACATTCATGCTGAAGCAAGTTTAGTTCTTGTTCGAGATTTCATGTGAGTTCTGGAAGTGTCCCACATTTTATTGGGCTGTCTTACACATAAACTACCATGAGCCACATTTGCTTTTTTATATGCTGAACATGTTTTTGATGCTCTTTAAGTAGTGGTTGAGGTTCATGGGACATTTACTACCTTTCTCACCTATCTGCAGTAACAAAGGATTAATTTAGATAATTTGGCCTCAGAAATGCAAGATACCTGTGTTTTCTAGGCAATTGTTGCACCACCCTGAGTCCCTTCGAGGAGATAGGGCAGGCTATAAATAAAGTTTCATTCATTCATTCTTGCATGTGATTGCAGAAACAGTTTAGTCACAAGCACAGGAAGGTGACCACATCTATTGACAAGCATGACTCTCTTGATCCTACTCAATTCATAGAAAGTCTGTTATTTGATTCCTTGGGTCACCGGCCAGTGTGATTGTGGTGAATGACTCATTGACCACACAAGATAGGGATCGTTTTAATCCGTTTTCATCTTAGACCTTCATCTTTCCCAGCTCCTTTACATATTGATGCTAATAAAGTTGTATGTTGCAACTTAAATTTGCTGAAGGATTTATAATTAGTTTTACTTGATTTTGTTTTAGTAACCATAACAAAAATATTTTCCTTTTATAGGAATAATGACTGGAGCCTTTTATTCAGTTTCAACCCTTCTAAACCAAATGATAGATTCTCATTATAAAGTAAGTTTCTTTAGAATTTCTTGTGAATGATTTTCCTTATTGATGTTTTATTTAAGGATTAGTACTTGGTTATATTATTGTTATAACTCAGCAGTAGCATTTTTGCCTAGGACTAGCAAAGATCTAGATCTGGTGACGCAGCAGGTTAAACCGCTGAGCTGCTGAACTTGCTGACTGAAAGGTTCGAATCCAGGGAGAGCAGTGAGCTCCCACTGTTAGACCCAGCTTCTTCCAGCCAATGTGAATGGATCAATAGATGCCACTTCTGTGGGAAGGTAATGGTGCTCCATGCAGTCATGCTGGCCAAATGACCTTGGAGGTGTCTATGGACAACACCGGCTCTTCGGCTTAGAAATGGAGATGATCATCACCCCCCAGAGTCGGACACGACTAGACTTAATGTCAGGGGAAACCTTTACCTTTACTAGCAAAGATCTGACTCAAGAATAAAATATTGCACACTAAAGGAATGGGTCAGTTATGGATTATTGATAGATATAATCCGCATAGATTGATAGATATAAACCGCATAGAGTCGCCGCTTTAGGCTGATATATGCGGTATACAAATGGAGTAAATAAAATAAATAAATAAATATCAAATACGTTATTTGGAAGCATTTCCTAGTAATAGGAAGGTCCGTCTTCTGGCTTTCGAGAACAACTTTTTTTGTTGTTTCCTAAGCATGTTAGACAACATCAGACTTTCCTTTTTATTGTTGTGGCCATATTTTACTTAATGATTCTCAGATCCTATCATTTCTGAGACAAAAGGATAAAAGAGAAAGAGACTGTGCATGCATATTTACTGTAGTAGATACAATATCGCTAATAGGTAATTCCACAATTATTTTATTCAAAGGGAGAAGAAGTGAATGCGGGAAGGATTGGCCTGACACTTGTGGTAGCTGGCATGGTAGGCTCAGTTATTTGTGGCTTATGGCTGGATCGCACCAAAACGTACAAGTAAGTTGGGAAGTGGGGAAATGGTTTGTTCTTTTTGTCGTAGTTACTGAGCTTAATTCCTGTGGCCGTAGGTCCTCTAGATGTTGTTGGACTGTGGCTCCCATCAGCCTTAAGTAGTGTAACGTGATGAGAGACATCTTTATGTGTGGTTGGGAATGAGCCTCACAATGACACTCATCCCTTGTTTAATCTGGTAATTCATGGCCATGCAGACATCCTGCCCTGGTTCAGATTTTTTTTCTCAAGACTTCATACATTATATCTTATGAAACAGGAGCTGGCATCACAGCAAAGTTCCTCTTCCACCACCACCTTTTATGACTTCCTGTTGTATACAACCTTTATTTACTTTACTAAGCCAAGTGCCCAGTTACCATTTTGCCAGATATTACCAGTATGGCTGTAATTTAACAAGCAATGAAAATAATGCACCCCACCTCTTAAGCTAACTTTCTGAAGTTTGGATGCTGCTGAAAACTTCAGCAGAAGCCAGACCTGTGCGGCTCCCCTTCTAAGGAAATTTAAAGCCTTTTGTTAGAAGATAACCTCTCCTCTGTAATTAATTGCATTGTATTCTTTTGCTACAGCTTTTCTTAGGTTGAGTTTTTATATTATCTTGGTTAAGCATCTAATGAAACCTGAATGATAGAAAGACATACTACAGCTAACACACCACACTTCTGGTAGTTCTACAAGTGGCAGATTTGATAATTCATGGATTTGATTGATATGTTCTCTCTAGAGATCTCTGAGTCCTCCAATGTTACTCTGTGGTCAACTTCCACAGTCACGTTTGTGATAGAGTTGCACAGGAAGACCTGGAAAGTTCAGGGAGGACATTTTTATTGGCATTTATAGGTCTTACAATGTGATAGAATTGCATTAAAGGAACTAGATATTCCTACAGAAATTTTCTATTAGGTAAAAACATGTTTTTAAAATTTACAGTTTTCCCACTTTCTGGAGGTCCTAACCCCAGTGAGTAAAATTGCCAACTGTATTGTTATTTTACATAAGTAATATTGATAATGATAGTCTGTACAGAGACAGGAGATTGAAAGGTTGCATACTTCTATGTTTATAGTTCAAAGTGGTTTAATTAAAAGTATAGAAAATAATACAGATGACATTGGAATGGCTGTACTTTTTAATGTTAAGTTTGTGCTCTTTTCATAGGCAGACAACATTAATTGTGTATATCCTCTCTTTTGTGGGGATGATTGTATTTACATTCACCTTGGATTGTGGACACCTAATAGTCGTATTTGTGACTGGTGGAGCACTTGGGTAAGGATGCATAAAGTCTTAACAAAACATTCTGTCATTCTCTGGAGTAGCCTAAATTAGAAGCCTTTATTGTATAGTAGGTTTCTAGCAGAAAATGCATTTAGTAGAGAATGAATTTTCAGAACTGGATGTTAAGGCTGGTTTTTGTAAAGTACCAAGTACTATGTCTCCTTCTAATTGCAATAAATAGCGACAAATAATTGATTTTGATGTTTGGTCCTTAAGTGCTGTTGTTAATTTGAATTTTGGATATTTTTGACAGCTTCTTTATGACTGGTTACCTCCCCCTTGGATTTGAATTTGCTGTGGAAATCACATACCCAGAGCCAGAAGGCACCTCATCAGGGCTTTTGAATGCTTCAGCACAGGTATTAAGGGAATACTTCGTAAAGCATATTTACTGGAATAATTACTACTCAGAATAAAGCTCAGAGAGCTCACAGCCTTGTAACAAATTTATCTATTGCTTAAAAATACTGTGGATGCTTGACATAACTAGTCAAAATAAAGCATTTTTTTTGATCTCTCTAATATATTAGATTCCTTTTATAGCTTGCCACATCTTTGCTGATAATATTCAGATGCCACTGTGTATGTTCCATTTAAATTTGCATGAAAATATTTTTGATTTGCCCATAATTAGAGCAGTATCAAACTGGGGGATGAACCGAATATTGGCCATGAAATAAGTTTGTTTTTTTTTGCTAAGATTCACCAGCCTGCTTTAGTTTTTCTTTCCTCCACATCTGTTCTTTCTGCTTCGAATGCAATATAACATTACTCAGCTGTTTTCCCACTGGAATCTTAGGTGGGCTGTGGGGAATGCTTCCTTTTGCACTGTTGCACAGATCAGCAGAATGAGTAAATAACTCATCAGTGTAGTGCAAATATGCCTCTCCCAAGAGTAATGAGTAAATAGAAACCTATCAGTGTGTTATGGAGTGGGAGGGAGGAAAACTAGGATGAGGCAACAGTTTTTGTTGACAATGTTCTTAACAGAGACAATGATATTTGTATACATCATTTTTAAAACTTGGCCTTTCTGCCAAAAAGGCTCTCAGATCTTCTTTTGTAAAAGTTGATTTTTAAAAAGCTAGGTAACCCTTGGCTTAAATTGAGTCTAAAACATATAATGCAAAGGGGGAAAAGATAAGAGAAAAAACAAATTGCTCTAGACACCAATTTGAAAATTCAGATAATGGCCAGTTTTAAATAGAGTTTGGGAAGGAGAGATGCCCCATGGAAGTGGTCTGTAATCACAGCCGCCAAAGCCATACTGTAACATGAGCTCTGCAAACAAACATCTTACATTTCTTTTTTGTCATTGTCTAAACAATTATGAATCATCTGAATGAGAACCTTCTTGTATTTTAATTACAGATATTTGGAATAATCTTTACACTGATTCAAGGGAAACTCACTACAGATTACAATCCCCGTGCAGGAAACATTTTCCTCTTTGTATGGATGTTTATAGGTATCATTTTAACAGGTAACTAGTTAGATTTATATCAAATTAATGTAAACACATGCCTTGTTCCTACTGGAAAATTGTCAGTAATAAATAATTCCCCTTAAAGATTGGATTCATTTGTTAAATTTCTGTATCTTTTCATTTTAATCACTACAGCTTTTTGATACTTGTTTTTTTTTAAATCTTTATTAAGAGAGAATGGGTTTTGAGAATAGGAAACAGTAATAAAAACTACCTCAATTAATTTCCAGAAAGAACCTAAGGTTGGAGAAAATGAATACAGCTAATAGAACAATGGCTTGATTTCCTTTGACTTCGAAGGGGAAAATGGAAGTAGGCAGTAGTCTAAAAGAGAGAGAGGGAAAACTAGTCATGTTCAAGAGAAGGATATGATGATAATGGGACCCAAGCAAATGTATAAGTGAGAACATTGAAGTGCTCCTTAGTTTTCCATTAGCAGAACATTTTAATAAAGAGAAATGTTTGGTAATGAAAGTAGTTTAATGGTTGTTGAAATAAAACACAGCATAACTGCAGAGAACCAGGTGGCCACTAGATTCTTCAGAATTCCAATAATGCCACAACCTAGCACACCTTTCATAATTTGAAAGTGGCAAATATTAAAACAATTAAAACAAGTTCACTCATTCTTGATTTTATGCATCCGTCTAACTTTTCTGTATTAATAAGAATTGTTGCTGTATAATTATTTTGCTAAATACATAGAAAGGGAAATCTGTATGTAAATGAACTTTCCCTGCAAAGGGCTTCAATTAGTTGAATAATTCAACCCTTGCTATCTCTAGTTTCTTCATATTGAAAGGCAGTGCACATGCTTTTTTCCAGTCCCTGTTCTAAGGCACTTCCCTTTCCCTATTTCTGATGTTGGTGAGTGCTTTCTAGCATATTGGACCATGTGCTATTAGTCTTTTTCTGGAAGTTCCCTTAAAAACATTGTTTTGATAGTTATTTTTATATAGGGGCAGTCTATTGATTCAGAAGTAAGCAACCTTGTAAAGACTGAAAAACTTGCCCAGCAGAATTATTCACTGCATTGGAATTGATACAAAATTCTTTCTTTCTTTTAGCTTTAATCAAATCAGATTTGCGGAGGCACAATGTGAATTCAGGGATAAATGTTGATGCTAAATCTGTAAGTAGTTTTAATCTTTTAATTTGCTGGCATGATTAGCCACTAAATCTGACATGTGGTGTAAGACTATTAATGGTATTATGGCGCCCGTTGCTTCAAGAAACCAATTATGTTTGTCATTATTTTTAATGAAATAGTATATTTTTTTCAAGAAACCTCTATTCTCTTTTTTACTTTTGGCCATTAATAGTCTCAAATCCAGTTGTTTTATTGTTATGTGTATTTGGAGTATCTATCATGTAATGGCTAGGTAGTGCCTGGGGCTCTTCATCTTCCTCCTCCTCCTCTTCTTCTTCTTCTTCATATATGAATTTTTATCAGTAATATCAAGTGGAACCTCACCAGGTATTAATAATTGATTGAATCAGCCCTCAACTGTATCTCTATTTTTCTTTCACAGACACCAGTTGATTCTAATACAGAAGATGGACGCAATAAAATTGTATCAAAAAGCCCATCTGAAACAAAAATTTAAACAGGACGATGCTAAAGTTCTGCAGTTGTCACATTATACCAAGTGGAAGTCGCCTAATGACAAGATTTGTATTCCTGAAGGTAGAGCCATAGCTACCAGCAATGATAATGCCACACAATTTCTGTATGTACTAAAAATGCACATACTCTACTGGGGACACATTTTTCAGTGATTATACTGGCAAGTTCCACCATGGTTTTAAAGAAAACATTCTTATCTTATTCCTGGAATCTGTGCATTTTCAAAACTATATGAGACCACTTTCAGTTCTATGACAACAAGTCGCAAATAGGTTGAGATTTAAAACAAAAGATTCACTCCCTGGGTTTTTGGAACAGGTTTTTGGTGCACGTGAAGGGCTCCATTGAAAGTGTGGATTGACTTCTGCTTGTACTGACTTCTGTTTTGGAGCAAGTAGATGACCAGAGATGGACATGGCCCATGAAATGTGTGCATTGAATGGACTGCCATAAATTAAGGGAGTGTGTTTTTTAACTTGGATTTTTTTTTATTGGAAGTGTTCACCTACCCTTTTGGTGGGAGGGTATGAGACCCAGCAAATTTTTGTGTTGTACTGTATATTTTATTTGTCATTTCTGTTTATTTTAAAAGGATTGCGGTTTATGAAAGTTGCAAATGCATATCAAAGACATATATACATTTTATTTTATTCACGGGAAATACCTTACAGCCTGTTATTTTGAAAATAACAGACATATTGATCTGTGAGCAACAAAATCCCCAGAGTTACTTTTTTTTCTAACTTCTTTTTCTTTGCATTCTAAAAATGCATATTTTGTATCATGGGAATGACAAAGAAGTATTTCCAAATCTTTCGAAGGCTTGTTCTGTTAGCTGCTCTCCACTTGTTCATGAATGTGTTTTAGCGAACAAGAAATGTTAGTGATTTGGCATTTTTGTGAAAAAAAATGCAAGAGCCCACAGTGGGTCTCTGCTGTTTCACCTAGTCATAGATATATGCAGATTTCTGTGCAATTTAGTGAATCATGTAACAGAAGAACCAGGACTCACTTCTAAGGTTTTGATGTACATTCCTTTTTGCAGTTAGGGGAACATGCCTGTGTGTGTGCGTGTTTGCTGTCTGGTGGAAGTTTGTGAGTTTTTATCTGTCTAGAAATATTAACTGTCTGTCTCCTAAATGTTCCTCCATTATGATATTCCTTTAGTGCAGTTTGCCTGGGAATAAATTATTATTAACCCTTACATTCCTTCTACCTTTAAAGGAAGAATGAAAGTGAAAAGTTTCTTTTCCTGAGCAAACCGATGCTGCTACTATCAATTATCAAGTCAGTAGGAACAATTTTTCTCCTGTTTGAAATGGAAGACAATTTTATTTTCTACAGTGAATTCTTCTGGTTTGATAATATACATTAGACATAGGCAAACTTCGGCCCTTCAGGTGTTTTGGACTTCGACTCCCACAATTCAACTCCCACAAAGGAAAGGGCCTCAGGCTTAAGGGAAGAGTTGTAGTTTTATAAGTCATTTCACCTTCTCTGTCAAAGAGTGCTGGTCCCTCATGAAACTGCGACTCCTAGGATTCCATAGTGTTGAACCATTGTAGTTAAAGTAATTTCACACTGTATTAATTCTACACTGTAGATTGACCCTTAAAGAGAAAAACCATGATCCAACTAAAATAGACTTCTGAAGTCCTGAAACAGGACAAATCTCTGTTTTAAAAACCAGTTTGCCTGGGTTGCAGAGAAAATTCAGATTTTTTCTGAAATAACGCCTATTAAAATGTGTGTTTGTGTGTATGTTGAACCCTTCTTATGTAAGCAGTCATTTATTCATATTCAATAACTTCTCAAACTTTCCAGTGGGACCTGTGACCTGTTGCTAAGCACAGCTGCATCCTTACTCCATGACCTAAAGCAGGGGTCCTCAAATTTTTTAAGCAGAGGGCCAAGTTACAATCCCTCAAACTGTTAGAGGGATGGATTATAATTTGAAAACAGCATGAATGAATTCCTATGTACACTGCACATATCTTTTTTGTAGTGCAAGAAACACTTTAAAACAATACAATAATTAAAATGAAGAACAAATAGAAACTGATTAGTATTTAAATGGGAAGTATGGGCCTGCTTTTGGCTGATGAGATAGGATTGTTGTTGTGGTGGTGGTGTGCTTTCAAGTCGTTTCAGACTTAGGTTGATCCTGAGCAAGGGCTGGGTAAATGACCTTGGAGGGCCGTATCCGGTCCTCTGGCCTTAGTTTGAGGACCCCTGACCTAAAGGATATAGAAATTCAGGCAGTCCCTGAGTTACAAACATCTGACTTACAAATGAGTGAATTTCCCTGCTTTAGGGGTAGATTTCTCTCACTTCCTGTTGTCTCACCCCTGTTCTTAACTATGAATCATTTGTAAGTCAGATTTTCCCAATGATAATGGGAAAAGGTGTCTTTACTGAAGTTTTCTCACCAATCCTTGTTTCCACAACAAGCCATTTTTTTTTCAAAATCAATTATTACAGGGTCAGAAAATGAGGTGAAATCTTCTGAACAGGGGCACAGACAGCAAAACAAACACTACAAGGGTGTTAACCCTTCCCGAAAGCCACCACCACCACCACCTATATATATATATATATGGCTAGAGTTATACTTTATAAATGTACATGTTCCAACTTAGTATTGACCTGCTGCTAAAAATGCGGTTAGTTCAGTAGTCACTAGCACTAACTTCCTCAGTATACTTCAGGTTGATCTTATGTCAGAATATAGTAAGGCTGACATTTAGGTCACACTGTCTGTGTTTGTTAAATATTATACCTCGGATATGAAAGCTTGTTCTGATGCCTAATTTAAAAGGGCTGTTCTCACTGATGCTCCTGAATCATCCTCAAAGTTTCTTTAAATGCTGAGCTGCAGAGAGATTCTGAAAAAAGGCTCATCTGACCACATGGTTGAGTAGAAAAAACTAAACAAGGTGTTTGCGCAGCGTCTCAAAACATGTATACAGAATATTAATCTGTTTGCTCAAAGTAAACTCTAGTGCTGTGTCTAGAGCTCTAGAAGTTTCTATATGCTCTTTTGATATTGTACAGTGCACATAACTTACTGGTGAGCCATTAATACCCTGATATATGAGCATATTCACATTTTAAATTTGTCTCCCCTCCTAATTTTTAAGAAGTATTTAGCTTCAGTTATTCAGGTCATAGCCAGTGCCTAACAATGCACTGTCTCCTTTAGCACACATTATGTGCAAGTATTCATCCATTTATGTGCAGCTGGATGTCAACAAGTTTTTAAAAACCCTTGCCCAAATCTGGTTATGCTGCATATGCATGTTCAGTATCTTGAATACAGCTAGTCTAGAATAGAAGGGACCAACCTCCTTACCCCTTTGTCCTACTTGTAATGTGGATTTTAGGGCTTAAAGAGATGTTGGATTCCTTTTTTTACAGTATTCAGTTCATAGTTTAGAGACCTTAATCCTTTTAAGTCTCCTGTTTCTTTCCAAAGTGCAAAATTACTCCTTACAAACTGTAAAACTCTAAATATATTTGACATGGCAGAAGGCCTGCTGGGGTTTTAAAAACAAGGCAGCCTTATAATGAGGGCTTAATTGCAGCTCAGATGGATTGATTCTGAAATAAGACGATGTAGGTCTTAGTCTGGGCTTTGGCCAGATACCACCAAATTGTATTCCTGGTCATTGTGTTGTCGAAGGCTTTCATGGCCGGAATCACTGGGTTGTTGTAGGTTTTTTGGGCTGTATGACCATGTTCTAGAAGCATTCTCTCCTGACATTTTGCCTGCATCTATGGCAGGCATCCTCAGAGGTTGTGAGGTTGCCACAGATGCAGGCGAAACGTCAGGAGAGAATGTTTCTAGAATATGGGCAAACAGCCCAAAAAACCTACAACAACCTATTCCTGGTCAAATTAAACATAAAGTATGAAGAGGTGCTTTGCAAGTTTTAACTAACAAATTGTCTTGCATAGTGTTGGTCAACTGGTAAGTGTGCATTTGAAGCATCCCTTATAGTTTTCATTTTTTTTTAGCCCTGAGAGAATCTAAAGAGAAATGAAATGAACCAAAAATATGCTTAGTCTCTCATATAACAGAATTTGATCAAGCCCAAAACTCGCTGGTATGTACAGTGGGTTCCTACTGATTTGGGGAGGGGAGAACACACAATTTCCATATAGTTTGAACACTGTAGGATCTGAATCCTATGTATCAATTCTTATGTGGTAAGATTCCTGATCATTTGACTGACTTGGCTTCCTCAATTGGGGTCAGCTTACATGCAGAATAAGGTTATTTTAAATAGAACAGTGAATCCTGATCTTCACACTGATGTTTAGGATCAGTCATGCTCTGTCACTGTTTGAGATTTATCTTCTCACTCTTGAGAATTCAGGCTCCTTTACTAGAATTGATCCTTCTCAAGTTGGCATATTCTTTATTATGCAATCATGTGAGGCCATTTTCTATGTCCTTCACCCTCTTATCTCCCCAAATTTTGGCTTCAAAAATAGTTACTTCCACCTTGGGGATGGGATGAGGATTAATTGGTCATTTGAAGATGGAGAGCTTATTTTGGTATGGAAAATAGAAACTACCTTTCAGTTTCTGTTTTGAAAAAAGGCCTCCATGATCCTAAAAGTGATGGGGAGATGGTCCAAAATGACCAGTTGTCCCTGGAGGTTTTACAATATGCCATTTTCCCAAAAGTGTAGTATAGTCTGGATGTAGAGTGTGGAAGCTCTTCCTGAGCCTTGAATGTTGCCCAGCCATACTTTAGATTATTAGTGTTGTGGTTTAATTCTTAGTATATATCCTTGATATGCTGTATTCCCAGTAAGGTTTTTTTTTCATGTCAGAAGCAATTTGAGAAACTGCAGGTTAACTGTTACATACTTTTAAATGGTTTTCAAGTACTGTATAATTTTAACATCCACAATATCAGTTATACTGTAGACCCTTAGTGAACTGAACATGTGACCTGCATAACTTCATTTGTGTCTTTTTAGACTTGTTTACTGCTCTGAATGCTCAAAATGAACAAACCTTGAAATTGCTTCTAAATGTTCTTTGCAAATGTTGACTATTATCATGTTTTCTCTCAAGCTGACCTCATTTTGGAGCAAGTGTGTGATATGTGTGCAAGCCTGGGAGACAGAACCGCCTTTGCAAAAGTCTGCAGTAGTACCTGCAATTTCGACAGTATGTGTAGGATTTCTGTGGCTCTGTATTTTTTACCATTACCTAGACATAATCACATTTTTAAATTGTGCGTTATGAAATGCACATTTTCCCTGATGAAAATGTAAGTGCCTCCTCTGTTAATGCTTTTATTCAGTATAATATTTCCTTTAGATGTTACTGGACTATAAATCCTATTGTTCCTTAATATTGACTATGCTGGTTTGGGTCATTCAAAATGGTAACCCCCTTATAGAGAGCTGCATGATTCCAACCCTGCTCTAAACCAATGTTTCTGCCTTATAATTTGTCTTGGAGATGAAGGAGGGCAGGAAACTTTGATTTTCTGTGCAATGCTATGCCAGTTACATTGTCAGGGTTTCCACTGAGCCAACAGAAAGCCTACATGTACATCTAGGTTAAATATTATTTCTGTGACCCATTCATTAATCAACATTGTTTGTGGATCTTGTTTTGAAAAGGTTCCAAATCCATCTAACAAATTTTATAGAAATCGAAAAAACATGCTGTGGATATGCATTCTTTTGCTCTAAAATGCACCTTGTACCAAAGTGTTTGTATACATTTTGATAGCTTTGATCTGTACATGATGTTTTACTCCTAGCCAACAATGTGCTGCCACCTATAACTCATTTTTCATTTTGTTTTTATTTGGTACCTTTTTGGAAACAAACTCCACATTTGTTTCAAGACTATCTTGGCTCATGCCATGTTATCCTGTTTGTTAGGCCACTGTTATTAACATGTACTACAGATGTCTTTCCAAATATTAATGTATTTGCCAACCTGATTTTATAACTGCGGAAGGCTCTTCAGCACTGACAGCAAAATGAACTCTTGGATCCGCCTCTCTTCTGACAGTGCAATGGCACAAGGACAGATTAAACCAAATCTGGACCCTAAGTTCTCACAACATGTTTACTAGTGTATTTTATAGAGTTAGATAGAACTAATGCAATCCTGGAATGTCTTAAAATAGTTGCCTCTGATCAAGTTTGTAAACTCAGTTTCAGTTGCTTTAGCCAATTTTATGTGTCCTGTCTTTGACTATCTGAAAGTGGAAATGATGCCATTTTCTTTGCTGATGCTCCTTGTGGGTCATGTGGATGTGAATGGGAAAACATGACTCTTGAAATGATGATAATCTGGGTAGGCAAAATGGAATCCTCCAAATGTTATTGGACTCTAGCATTTCTCAGCATTGAATATCCTGGCTAGAGGACAAGGGCTGATGTGCATTGCAGTCCAAGCATTTTGGAGGGTTGCATTTTGGCTTGCCATCAATGATACCTCTCTGTAAATGGGTGCTGTGTTTCACTAATTATTCCAAGTACGTTATTTTTTAAAAAATGAAAGAGGAACCATATTCTCATTGCTGCTGTCATATCTTCACTGGGCATATTTCCCACCATCACTGTGATATTTTAAAATTTGCTGTAAACAACTGACTATTTTTTAGAAAATTACTCTTTTTAATAGCTCTCTTTTGAATTAGCAAACCATATCGCAATCCAACGTTTACTCATTTTTCTAAAGGCATGCTATTCAGCATTATCTGCCTGCTACTTTCAAGACATAAAATAACTCGTGGTCCATTCACACTATATCATTACGGAGTGATATTCCATTTTAACTCTCACGATAGCTGCCTAGGGAATCCAGGGATATGCAGTTTAGAGAAGATCAGTTAGAGTGTTCAACCAGAGAGCTATGGTGCCTGACCAAACTACAAATCCCAGGATTCCATTCGATGTTGATCTGGTATTTAAAATGACATCATATTGCTATATGCGTAATGTGGAAGTGCCCTTTTTTCTAGATGGCACCAAGCTGCACTATGTACCATCTGTTTGCACGTGATTTCATTTTCAGATATCCCTCCAAGCCCTGTGATATAAGTATTATAGACTGACCTATTGAGGCTTAGAAACCCACTTGAAGATGCAATTGATTCTGACTGTGCTAGTCTTGGATTTGATCTGTTTGTTGCAGATTCTTGCTCTGTTTAGTTATCAACATGGGGTTGTTTTGGAAAAATCGCAGTACAAAAGGGTCAAGCAGTAGTCTGCAGAGCTTTGTGAGTACTATAATGACTATGAAATACTTTCCCCATTCAAAGTGTGTTCCTAGTGATTACTCTGGCAGAAAATAAATACAGCTCCTTTTCCTAACAGACCTTTTCATCTAGTTAATAATGGCAATGTATAGAATTGTCTGTTTTGTCCAAAAGTTTAATACCTGCTTAACTGCAGTAAACAAACAAACAAACAAAAGGATTGACTGTCTCAAAAGGTACCTATGCCATGGCTTTCTTAATGAATTGAATAGGTAGACCTTGATGGTTAGAAACATGTTAAGGCACACACAATTGCCAAATTTAAGGTCTGGCTTTTGATCTGCATATTGGATATATTTTGATACAATAATAATACAAAAGAAGTCTTTGTTATCAGTCACTAGTCTCCCTGTAAGATAATCTCCCAGAGTTTAATTTTGCATTTGTAATGGTGATCAAAGGACTCCAAGTGGTGCAGCGAGTTAAGCCGCTGAGCTGCTGAATTTACTGACCAGAAGGTTGGAAGTTTGAATCCAGGGAGCAGGGTGAGCTCCCGCTGTTAGCTCCCGCTGTTAGCTTCTGCCAACCTAGCAGTTTGAAAACATGCAAATGTGAGTAGATCAATAGGTACCACTTTGGCGGGAAGGTAACGCCACTCCATGCAGTCATGCCAGTCACTTGACCTTGGAGGTGTCTACGGACAACGCCGGCTCTTTGGCTTAGAAATTGAGATGAGCACCCCCACCCCCAGAATCGGACATGACTAGACCAAATGTCAGGGGAAACCTTTACCTTTAATGATGATTAAGAACAGCTAAGAGTTTTCACTTAAAAGTAGAGCTGTCTTGTAATGGAGTCTCTCCAGGCCTGCATTTTAGACTTGTGACTGTAGGAAGGAGCAAAATGACCATGAAAGGGTTTCAGTGGAGCCCCATCATCAAATGGGAAGATAGGATCTTAGATACTTCTTAGTCAGTCCTAGTCTTTAACCAGCTTCCTCTTTTATTGGAACTCTAGTCTTGGAGCAGAGAGGAAAAGGCATTTTGTGTTAGTGGGAGCACATAAACCTGATGAATCTACAATCTTTTTGGGCTCCAACTACATTCCCAGCTTGGTGGGATTTAGTTTAGCCCCAAACTGGTCTACATGCATTGTTTCCAGTGGGAAGGGGTTGAATTATATTTCAGAAAGAACAATAGCTTCCTCCACTTTTTTCCCCTTAGAGACAAGAGACCAGGAGGCTTTTGGACAGAATTTGAGTGTCTTTTCATTAGACCTTCAGTTCCCTTAGGTTTGTGTGCTAAAATATAAATAACAGTATGTAATATTTTAGATCTGGGAAGGGGTATAATAATAACTACAGACCTAGTGAGACCCAACCACTGCAGAGTTGTTATCATGACCATAGTTTTTTTTTTTTTGCTATGTCTCAGATCCATGAGCTCCATAATTGAGATGGTTACAAGTCAGCAAATGACAAATTAAAAAATAAATATATCCTTGTCTTCTTGAATGTATTTGAACTGTAACTCATTTTTGTATTGTTTGTACTTGCCAATATTGGGGGTATCTCTATTGCTGTACTACTAAATAAAAGTCTTGTGGAAAGAGTGCCGTTTGATTTTTGGCTATATATGTTTTTCCTAAAGTGTTGTTTTGAATTTGAAGTGATTTCTTCTGTTTTTTGTTTGCATGGTGTTAGGAAATTTTATTTCAGTTATCATGGGGAACAGGTGTCTCCACTAGAATGGACATAAACAACTTACTAGATTTCTAAAATAGAGTTACTAACAGCAAAAATTACCATCCTATTACGAATTCATGTCAAAAGATTATACTCAAGTGTGCAAAAGATTTGTTACATAGTTCTCATCTTAATTAAGGATGCATATTCTTCCAGAGCAGGGATGGAAAATCTATAACCCTGCCTTTGAAAAACTAAATTCCAACTCCCAGCGTTCTTGACTGCACATTGGCTGCAGCAACTGAGTATTGGAATCTGGAGGTTTTTCAGTTTCCCACTCTTGTATTAGAATTAATGTAGTTAAGTTTCTCATTCAACAGGTTGCACTCTATGTATGGAAATATCACAAGGAGTATCCTGGTATAGTATTAAATGATCAAATTTTCAGTATAAGTAATTTCATTTGGAGGGGCATGAAAACTAAAAAGTTATGTTGTGTTTTCTATTCTTCAGAATGTTCAGGAGTGCCACTTTTCAAATGCATTATGCCTCACATAGGAATGTTGACAGAATTATAATATGGATATTTATTGTTTATGTGCTTGCCAAGATATACTACTTTTTAGGAGGGGTTTCAAGAGTACATACAGGGATATCAGGGATATTTTTGATAGTCACCCATCTTGCCATTGACAAAACTCGTATCTGTTTAGTTTCTCATTGCACTGAGTCAGTGGTGCCCTCTGCATTAGTAGTTAATCAAGAGTAGAGAGACACGTCTTTTTAGAAGAAAGTGCGCAGACTCCATTGCAAAGTGTTAAGGATAACGTGACCACTAGGTTAGCTGCTATGACACCCCCCCCCCCCCCGGGGTTGAGAAGGGTGGTGTAAAAATGCTGTAAAATAAATAAATGTACCTGGTAGTACAATGTGCTAAACCCTTGTGCCGGCAGGACTCCTGATCAGCAGTTCAAATCCGGGGAGAGCGGGTTGAGCTCCCTGTCAGCTCCAGCTCCTATTCAGGGACATGAGAGAAGCCTCCCACAAGGATACTAAAACATCAAACATCCGGGTGTCCCCTGGGCAACTTCCTTGCAGACGGCCAATTCTCTCACTCCAGAAGTAACTTGCAGTTTCTCAAGTCACTCCTGACATGAAAAAACAAAGTTGTACTTGGGTATGCTACTAGAAAACTACAGGTTACATTCCGTTCTTGAATGGAAACAGTGCCAATCTGTTGGAATAAATATTCAGAGAGAATCCTATTGCATATGAAAGACCATGAAATGCAAGTAATACAGTCTGCGATAGCCCTGTGCTTTATATAGAAATATCCCAGATTGTACTTCTTGTATTTCATGGCCTTCTGGCGCTGCTTCCCATGTTCCCATGGGTGAATACCTGACAACTGAGGATATTTCTGTGTGCATCTGGGCTCTGGTTTATAAAAGCTTACACAGCTATAAATGTTAGCCTGAAGTGATACATGGCTGCTCTCATGGGGTCCACTATTATATTTATTTATCATGTCAGAAGTAGGTTGAGGGCATAGTTAAAATGCATTTAAAACCAGAAAGAAAAATAACTTGGCATTATGCTAAATGTCCTTTGACCAGAAGCTGGCCACTTGGAGTGCCTCTGTTGTCACTCTGGGGATATGAGAGAAGCCTCCCTGCAGGACTGTAACACATCCAAGCATTCCCTGGGCAATGTCTTCATAGATGGCTGATTATTTCATACCAGAAGCGATTTGCAGCATGGGATCCACTGCTTCTGACTAGTGAGAAGAACCTTTTTAGGTTGAAAGGAGTTGACAGATAGGGCTAATATCACTTGATGGATAAAGTTATGAGATTAAATTTAATCTTAGTTTCAGATAAAAGTTTTATATGTTTTTTCATGAATACATTTGGCCGTCTTGATGCCTGGCACTTCTAGACTACACTCTGATGTTATTCAGCTCCACGTGTTCTGGTTTTCATTAGTGAAATGTTGGGTATGGTCCTAAGCAGAGAGCCAGTGTGGTGGTGTGACTTGAGCGTTGGTCTACAACTCTGGAGACAAGGGTTTGAAAGCCTCACTTAGCTGTGGAAAGCTATAGTATGATTTTGGGTGAGTCGCACACTCTCAGCCCCAGAAAAATGTACCAGTATTATAATTTCACTTAATTGGAAATGACTTGCAGGCACACAACAGCATCTGAAGGATGAAGACATCCAGTCCTTGTGGGCTAAGATTTCAGTTGAACCTTTCTGCTGTAGGGTTCTCTTAGTGGGGATTTTAGAGACAAATCTAAGTGCAAGCTAATTATTTTGATTTTTTAAGACAACTTGAGACTGTGTAGATGTGTGGAGACAAGTCTATTTCTGCAGACACCCTTCTTTTCCCATTTCTAGGGGATTTTTTTCATGCCAATTCTCTTTTAATGTCTTAAATGAAAAAAAATCTCCATACATTTTAGTATATATTTTACAAAATAGACACTTGAATGGACGCGGGACAACGTTGACTAGAATGGATCCATGCACATTTTAAAATGTACTTATAACGTCTTGTGGTGTGTTTTTCAAACATGTAGATGCTATTTTTTTCCTCTGTGGGGTGTACTGCAAGCCTGAATATTGGCAGACTTTTGACTCCTCAGCTGGATCTGTTTTTGTTCTTACAAAGTTCATATGAGAGAGATCTGTAAAAAAGCAAAATCTAACAGAATCAGAGATAGCTTGCACATCCTTAGAGATAATTCTCTTAAATTTCAGTAGAGGGAGACCTCTGCTGTTAGTTCTGTGCACTTGTTGGATCCTTTCAAAATATGTTGACTAGAAGTCTCTATGAATGTGTGCACACACTTGTGTGTGTGGTGACCCCATGTATATCATAGGGTTTTCTTAGGCAAGGCATACTCAGAGGTGGTTTCTTCAAATATAGTCTACAACATTTGGTATTTGTTCATGTCCAATCAGCCAAAATGTCTTACTGTAATGTAAGTGAAATTATTGATAAGCCAATTCATACCACTTTAAAACCTAGGTTGAAATATGCAGCACATTGAGTTTTGCTGGTCTATAACTCTATGCCTTCCTCACCATTAATGATATTAGCTAGGGCTGCTGGGACAAACAGTCCACAACACTGGAAGAATACAATGGGCAAAATATTACAGCATATCTCAACAGCAACACAAGGCTGGGAATTCTTAAGAAAACGGCACAATTGAACCGATGGTTCTGCTTATAAAAGATTAAATATTGGGAAAATATTGATTTGTAAGATACAAAAATTAAATATAACAAAAAAGAGGGAGTGTGGCTAAATTGACACTGAAAGAAAAATGATAGAATGGTGCATATTTTTAAAATATAACATGCCATTTTACAGATGTCTTAACTTCATTAAAAATTCCCTGCACACTGGGAAGAATTGTGATTTCAAGGTTGAGGGCATTTTCTGATGCGAATCACAGTTGTTCAATGCACACTAGTCATGGCAAACGTATCATGGTTCAGGCCCGTAGCCAGGATTTCGTTTGGGGGGGGGGGGGCTGAATTTTTTTCAGGGGGGGTTTCGGGGGGGGCTGAGTTTCGGGGGGGGCTGAGTCTGAGTGAAAGAGGGTCTACCCTAGCAAACCTTTTGTATCATTACCCCAATACCCCCATGCATATGGGATATATTGAGTATGGTGATCAGATCATGATATGAATAAACATAACAGTTTAAATAATGCACCAGTAAGGCCTTTTCGCGGACCACCATGAGAATTTGGGGGGGGGCTGAAGCCCCTCAAGCCCCCCCTCCCCCCCGGCTACATGCCTGACCTGGTGGCCATCCTTCTGGTGAAGAACCTGTTTATACTTTGCATATACAACAGAGACATGATTCCACCTCCAGGATCATGATCAACCAGTTTGGTTTTTGTTGTTCATTCAGTCACTTGTGACTCTTTGTAACCTCATGGACCAGCCCACGCCAGAGCTCCTTGTCAGCTGTGGCCACACGTAACTCCTTCAAGGTCAATCCAGTCACTTCAAGGATATCATCCATCCATCTTGCCCTTGGTTGGCCCCTCTTCCTTTTTCCTTCCATTTTCCGCAGCATCATTGTTTTCTACAAGCTTTCCTCCTTCTTATGATGTGGTCAAAGAACTTCATCTTTGCTTCTAATATCCTTCCCTCCAGTGAGTAGCTGGGCTTTAATTCCTGGAGTATGGACTGGTTTGATCTTCTTGTGGTCCACTGGTTTGATCTTCTCGTGGTCCATTTTCCTCCAGCACCACAGTTCAAAAGACTATCTTCCTTCACTCAGGCTTCCTTACGGTCCTGCTTTCACATCCATAGGTTACTACAGGGAATACCATTGCTTTTACTATGCAAAGGCCTGTTTACTACCCCGTTTCCTTATGAGCTCTCCCTTGCATATAATCTGCTCCTTTTATCTCACCCTGAGTTTTTAATCATTTTATTGTACATGCGGCCCGCTCACTGTTATTGTGATTGTTCATTGCATTCTAATGTTTTGTGTTTATTGCTTACTATATTTATCATGTTTTTGTATTTTACTGTGTTGTTGCTTGTGTTTTGGTTTTTATTTTATTGTATTTTACTGTATTGTAATTTGCTGTTTGGGCTTGGCCTCATGTAAGCCGCCCCGAGTCTCCGTTGGGGGAGATGGTGGCAGGGTATAAATAAAGTTCACTATTATTATTATTATTATTATTATTATTATTATTATTATTATTGTTATTATTATTTTTATTGCCAGTGTGATGTCTCTACTCTTCACTATTTTATCGAGATTGGTCATTGCTTTCTTCCCAAGAAGTAAACGTCTTCTGATTTCCTGGCTGCAGTCTGTGTCTGCAGTAATCTTTGTGCCTAGAAATACAAACTTTGTCACTGCCGCTTTGTTTTATCCCTCTATTTGCCAGTTACTAACCAATC